AATTAGCATGTTTGTTCCGTAAGGTTTCTATTTAAAAATTTGCAGACCACTTGTATAACAAAGGAAAAAAAAATCCAGGAAAATTGATCGTGTATTTTTCCGCATCTGCATTTTCTCAACTACAATAATAATATTAAAAATCACATACGGTAAAATAATTTTCCTTGTTATTACACCATATGTTTTATCATCTGGGAGCTCTTTCTTTATCTTTAAATTTTGAATTTTTTCCTTGAATTCACCTTTTATGGAGCGAGTTATTATCATAATAAGAATCAAGGTCGTGATACGAAACTTTAAAAAAAGCAAAATAACTTTACGAGTACTTCATGTAGGAAAAAGTCCGATTGAATCTTTTTCAATAACGAACATATTGCAAATAAATTGAAAAAATTGAAAAAAATTATCATTATTAAAATGTTATTCTCAAGAACTAACAGAAAGAAAATGGTAATCTGCCGGTCTACATTGTTGGATACGAGGGTATTTGAATTTTTTTTACCACATATTAATATATAATTAATCATGCATGATATCGGAAAATAAAATAGAAATTTGATGCATGTAACTTTCCTTCTTTCCTTATTTAAAACCGATTGTCGGGGGATTTATCGGCGCAACAACATTATTATTATTATCCAATTAAATTTGAATTCTGGAGAATTTGTACGACAACTAATGAAATGAACGGACGGACATTAGACGTTCCAATGTTAAAGCATAAAATTTAATTCGTGAAGGAAAGAATTTTTAATAATCATTTTCATCATTAAGAATCAAAGGCTTCATTTTGTTTTTCCAGTTATAAAATCATATAGAACTTTTATTTTAATAAAACAATTAAATATTACATTTTAGTTTTTTCGCACTATTGCAAAATTCTAACTAGAAAGAAATTTATCTATATGTATATATTAATAATGCAATAGAAGCGCATGAACTTATATATATATATATATGGATGGCTTATGTGGTTTATATAACTTTAATATATTCTAGGACAAAATTTCGTTTAGCGCATTTTATTTTTTATTTCGAAACATTTCTTTATTATTATTAATATTAAAGTTTTCAATAAAATAATTTATCATAACAGAACATACATATCTGAATAAAATTTATAATCTTCGTCTACAGTTCACACTCTCTATAACGAACATCTTAGTAAACACTCCCTATAACGAACAAAAGCGGAAAAATTACATATAGGGACGGAATCATATTTAGATAATTAACTTTTGGTATGTGCTATTTTATAGTGAAAATTTTCAAATTTATTGGTAACCATAATTTATATACACATTAACCTCTCTATTATTCATCTACTTGTAATTGCTTTAGGCAATGGAATCGATAAAGACTTGGTTATGTTATGCGCTAGCTATCCTTTTTTTGGGGAGAAAAATTCGAAAGTAACTTCAAAAAATATTGCCTGCTCGTGAAATTTAGATGACCAAAAATTTGTTGTGCCATCTCAAAATAGTATCTACAATAAAAATCATTCTTTAGTTAAGAAAATCTCAAATATTTATTATATTATATATATATTACAACAAAGTTATAAACAAAAACATCTAAAGGAGTCCCTTATAATTGTGGTATAAAAAACATTCATCATATCACCCTTCATATCACAACAAAAATATCCAACTTTGCCGAAGGCCAGAACTTTTTCTTATAGAGTTTCTATCTTAATTATTTGTAATTTAAACAACCAACCATTTAATGTAACTTGGATATTCAAAATTAGCCCAAACAATAATTTTATTTGAATAAAACAATAAATGACAAACAACACCAGTGACTAAGTTGCTGTCATAAAATATTCCTCTAGTTATATGATTATTATTAAATAAAATTTCTTGTGATATTTTACTTTCTTTTTCTATATTACCTTCAATGGTTTAAATAAGAACGGTCATAGAATGATACAAATAAGTATAACGAATAAACCATATTACAAAATCAGAAAGATACAAATACTTTTATAGCTAATCATAGAAAGTCATCACAATTAAAATGGTAGCAGAAAGGTCAATTAATGCAAGTCCCAGCTCCATAAGTATTCATGTGCAAAAAAATATTCCTATTCCCAATACGTCAGATGGTAAAAAGTCGCGTTTATTTGCTTTAGTGAGCAAGCAAGCAGGGTTAAGACTAACTAGTGAGTGTTAACAACAATCAGCAACGTAATTTGCTTTAGTGAGTAAGCAAAGGGTTGGGTTAGCTGTGGGTGTCAATGAATTATCGTCCAAAGGTTAATCGAAAATACTGGTAGTATTATCGTTGTCGTAAACGTAAGGTTATTAAACAAGCTACTTAAGTTGTTTTGTAAACAACCCAATCGAGTTTGCAATCGACTAGTAAATGTAAACAAGGGTAAATAACTGAAATAAATCAATTGTAAGTGAATGAAAGGAAATTTATAGAAGCTAATGATGCACGACGGAAGTTTTTGACTTTAGTCATTGACGTAATTAAAGTATTGACTAAAGATAGTTTCTCACCAGAGCCATTTGACGATTTGATTAAAGTAAAAGCCCTTGACATAAGTAAAACCACTTGACATAAGTAAAACCGCTTGACGTAAGTGAAACACTTGATACAATTAAAAATAGGCAGCAATAATGATAATGATTAAATAAGATTATCAAAAGTTTAAAAATGTGTATCCCGAGGATGAACAAAGTATTATTATATCATTGTATGAATATTGCAATGATGTAGAACAGTAGGAAGAATAATTATCATGGGAGAATTAAATTACTTGTCTTTTTCGTATATTTTCTTTCAAAATAAAAATGCCTCTACTTTTTACAATGAAGTTAACTATGCATAATAGTAATACGCAATAACAATAATAATTTGCTTGAGCTGTCTTCAGTATCTGAGTTTGAAGCAACATATATTGAACAATATTGGTACTTAGAACGACCTTTACATAGCACATAAGATAGGTTTTGGTACATATTTTAGCAAGTTTTTAACATTTCTAAGTCTTGAAATTCATTTATTCTTAAATCACGATAAATCGATCACTAGAGTTTGGTGATGATAAAGTTGTTCCTTATCAATTAATCCTGTTGGAGGAAAACTTAAAGGCACTATAAAAAATGTTGCACAAAAATTGTTTGTGCACGTTATCAGTTCTTCGCAAAGAAAAACAAAGTTTTTAAACGAAAATGTAACAATGAGTTTCGGGAAATACAGATTAGTATTATATCGCGATGATGTTTTTTGGTGTAATAGTATTTCAATCACTTACAAATATATTCGTTCGGAGCATCAAAATTCACACCGGATGCAAAGCATCTTAGCATCTTATTATGTATTTGTGATCAATGATGCAGCCTTTAATAAAAATAGGCTATTTTGTGGCATTAATCGAGGAGTCTAATAAATTACAACAAAAATATATAAATATACATGCTACCCCACTCGTGGACCAAAAAAACGGTGCATTAGTTTTGCTTTTTACGTTACATTCTAATTCGAGAGTCGAGGAACGTAGTGCCGATATGGCCTTCTATGTATGATTTAGCCTTACACATTACAAATGCGAGGCATCTATATATTCGTTCGGAGCACCGGCGTTAGTCAGTCTTATTATCGATATTTTATTTTATTTGTTAAAAATTTATTTGTTTGTTTGTTTTTTATTTATTTATATACAAACGGAAAAAAAATCAACTAAGCTTTTTTTTCTTAATTAAAAAAAAAAGATCTTTTTGTCCTCGTGTTTATTTATTTATCCCAGGTTAAAGGTCAATGGGTCAATTGGATTTTTTTTTTTTTTCAAGTCTATCGCTATTGGAGAATAAACCCCATGTAAACATCAAAAGTTATTTACAAATTTCGTTTGTTAAAAAAAAAAATCAACTAAGCTTTTTTTTTAATTGAAAAAAAACCTCCTTTACAAATATTAATCAATGGATTTTATTTGTTTTTCCGAAAGGATAAATTTTTTCCCTATCCAGATCATCCACTATCTCTCAACTGGTCAAAATAAAAAATAATTTGTACATATTGTTGGTTTATCGATCATTGAATTGACCGATAATAATAATAACAAAATGTAAAAAAAATCTAAAGCGAAACACAATTTACTTTCGGTCAAGTATTTGCTTCGCTGAACCCTGACGTTTTGAACAAAACAGATAAATTTTTCGGTTGTCGAATAGATAACAATTGGAAATTGCATGATACAACGATGTAAAAAATGACCACATTCATTTATCATTTTCGGAAAGCGAAAATATTTTCAAATCAGTTTGCAAGCCAGCATAGCAAAAAAAGAAAAAAACGACTCATCATAAAATTTCCCTTTGATTTTGATCCATAAAAATTCAGTTGTGCAACAAAATGTTTGGAAAATTCGTTTCAAGTCCTTTACAACAGAATATTTTCCGTGCGAAATTATTTATTAGATTACACAAATATAAAAATCTACGATATTTAGAAAGGAACCCTTGTTGTGTATAAAGAGTGGTTCTGGGACAGAACTAGGATTTTCCGAGACAATTTATCCAGTTTGGATCTATAAGATCTTCCGGAGACCTGTTTCATAGTAATTTCGATACCATTAATTTTTTATATCATATTAATATATGCTAAATTTACTATGTGATGTAATCCAAGAAAAAAAATTTTTTTTTTCTTTAAAGCAGTTAACAGGTAAGCGAGTGAAACATGCGTAGCATGTTAGTTAGCGAAACTAGAAAAAATAATAAATTAATAAAATTTTCAAATTAAACATTTCTGCTTTCTATATAAAAAGAAAACAAAAAATGTTCGCATCTATTGCTAAAACTTTTAGATATATTATCAATATGTTAAAATACCTCGATGATAGCAAAGACCCGTTTGAGGCGGGAGATTTAGTAGAGGTAAGAGAAGAGATCGAGTATGTTGATTTTAATCCTCCAGTGTTTAAGTTACCACCAGAACTAATTGGTAAAATTATAAAGCAAATCAAAGATCCAAAAAAAATTGCAAATGTAATGTTAGTAAACAAAACATGGTATAAAGAAGGATGTCGACGATTACATATAGATCGAGATGACATAATGGAATGGTTAAAATTAAAAAGGATCAATAAATTGGGTAGCTTTATAAGATGTCAAAATCTTGATAGGTTAGATGAATATGGTAGGATAATTAAAAAGCTTAAGAAAATTCGTGAAAAATTAAATGAATCGCATTTGATTGCACATAACAATTATTACGAAGCATTGAGAAATCTTCCAGATACATTTGATTTCTGGTTAAAAGATCTTGTTCAAAGCATAATGGTGGGCGGTAAGTAACAATATTAATATATCAATTACTAATAATGATTCATATCGTGTATATATACTGTATTAACGAGGTTTACTATTATGGTTATTGTTACATATGTAACTGATTTATTATAATGGCTTATGGTTAACGTGGTAAGTAATAATATAATAATAATAATAATTTATTGCTATATTGTATAACATTGTATTAACGTGTTTATTACTGCTATTATTATGCACGCGACCATCAAGATAAGTAATAATATATTACTAATATTATTAATTGTATACATATAACATTGTATTAACAGGTTTTATTATTATGCACGCGACCATTAAGGTAATAATAATATATTACTAATAATTCGGATCTATGTGTAAATATTATTGTATAAATATTATTTAATTAAAAGAATTATTGTTATATATATTAATTATTTATTTATATGATTAGATATTGGAAAATGTTACATTTAAAAATCAAAGGGGCTCCAACTCTTTTTATAAGAAAATATTAACTAGTAACCATCAAGATTGTAATTTACATTTGCCACTTGCCACTAATCATACTTAACATTAAATTAATGCTAATGTTGACCAACTGTTCAATTGATGTTTACCATCAATAACAATAAATCATAAATGACCATCAAATGTAATATTACACAATATAATATATATAGAATGAATAATAATATATTGTTACAATAAAGAATGACAAATACATAAATAATAATAAAATTATGTAAGATTGGAATCCTCCAGACTATTCTCTATTGATAACATTTATAATAATAAAGTGATTTTAAATATTTTTAATTTTTAAAAACCTTAAATTGTTATATTCATTTTCTAGCAAATTTTCATACTTATTTATTGAATCTTTATTATTAAAGGTTCAAGACCTCTCCAATTCTTCATTAGAATATCCAAAGAATGGTTGCTAACATTATAAACATTACAAGTGAAAGCTATTGACTTTAAGTTTACTGGTAGTGTTTCATTTAATACTGTCAATATTTTATCATAATCTAATATACCTTCAGGAAAATTGTTAAATCTAATACTTTTTAATTTATTACAATTATTAAGCACTTCCATTAATTCCTGGTCTAATTTATCCTCATATAATATAGATAAATCTTCTAAATTTTTACAATATTGTGCAATTGATTGAAATAATTTTTCCGATCCATATGTACAACCATCAACAATCAGCCTTTTAAGATTTTTTCCGTTGATATTAATAAAATCAGAAAAGTCTGATATAAATGGTTGAGAAGTAATATATAAATTTACAGATTCAATGTTTGGCAGTGAAATACTTTTCAAATTTATCATTTTGCTATTATGACAAACTGATAATTCTAAAGTCTTTAAGTTTTTAAAAGTTGGTAATAATAAATCCTTAAAATGATCTCCATTGCCATAAAGTCTATAAAAAATTATTGATTGTGAATGTGTTAATATTGCTTTCCTTAATTCATCTGGTAACATTGATGATCCAACAGATAATAATAAATATTTAATTTGCTCTTGTACTTTAATTAGCTGTGCTAAATTATGCATACCTTTGTCATTAATACCACAACATACTGTTAATGATTGAATATTTTTACAAATGTTTGCTAATTTGTAAAAAAATTCACCATTATCAGAACTATGACAACCTACTTCATAAAGATTCTGAAAACAATTATCTAATCTATGATGATTAATTAATAAATTATAATCTATATAACCAGCAGCAATAAGCCTTCTAATACCTGCTGAATGATCTAAAATAAAGTTTGCTAATTTATTCTGTAAATTTAATTCTCTACTTTTTACCAGGTATTGAAAATCATAGCAATCATAAAGTATAGTGCAAAATCTGGCATAATTGTATAATGGTGGTTTCTCCAATAGTTCAAATGTTAATTCAATGCAATTTCTAGTTAAGAAATCTTTATCTTCTTCTAACATACAATTAATTAATATTTTGGTGCTGTCTTTACAAACCAATGGATTCTTCCATAAAGTTGGGATATTTATATTGTGCCATTGTTTGTTGACAAGGATACAAGAATATAATGTTTGGTAATCATCTTCAATGTATTTGAATATTTCAGTCAGAAGTTCAAGTGGCAAACTAATTATTTCATGCATTTTTTTTAAGAATAATTTTGTTTGTTGCACAATGTAAATGAAAACAATTATTTCATTGATTCCAATTACCGTAAAGTCTGGAAAGATAGCATCCCCTTTTTACATATGTGTAACAATTTTTTTATATTGACGCTCAATTGTTTTAAAGTAGGGATGCTATCTTTCGGGGGTGCTATCTTTCCAGACTTTACGGTAATAATTGGAAAAAAAATAATATTAATCATGATAAATAATAATTGTCAGAATTTACCAAAAAAAGTAAATAATTCTACACAAATTAAAGCGAAATTGTCTTGATAAATGAATCCGAAAATGCCTAAATAGTTTTCATAGTTGCCGAATCAACTTTATTACTATTACTTGTCAAAATTATATCCGAAATTATTTGAACACTTTAACTCAATAACCGAAATTCTGGGTAGTTTTTTTATAAGAACATTGTAAATCCAAAATTACTTGCCGAAATTAATTTTTTCAAAAACTATTTCGGCTAACATCCTTAACCCAAATCACATGAGCTATTCGTAAAAAGTCTTGGTCGATTTCTTTAATAAAAAAATTAGTAATAATAATTAACAAAAATAATCAAAATCTCATTTATTATTACGAATCATCCTAATTTTGATAGATGACAACATATTTTTTATTCGAATATTAACAACCAAAACTGTTTGAATTTTTTATAATGTTAAATCTAAAAAGGACTACAATTTCAACGGTTGGCATTTGGAGGTCCTGGAGTTGAAATTTACATATCCAGTCATAGAATCGTCATCATTGTCATCATCATCATCATCATTACCATCAACATCACCATCATCAAACAATAAAAAAATGTTGACAAGAATTGAGCAGCATTAAAAAAACTCGAGAATGCATTTGTTGAATCAAGTGATGCCTTTCAAAAAAAAAAACAAAAGATAGTGGGAACTTAGCAAGTGATGAACAGGAGATATTTTTATTTTTGCGTTTTGGTACATATACACACAAAGATAATCGTGTAGTTTTCCGCCAAAAAATTCATCCGCCAATTTGAATTCCCGTGAGAATATTCGACATCCACCAAAATTAAAAAATCCGAAATTTACAAAAAATTTATTTTTAGATGTCGAATATTCTCACAGAAATTCAAATTGGCGGATGAATTTTGGCGGAAAACTACACGATTACCACACAAAGTGTCTTAATCAATTCCTTTAGATCAATGGTGCATTTACAATAATAATGCTATAACATGTTATAATAAATAACGTGCGATGAGAATACTTATTAGTATTAGTTAATAAAATATATGTGATGTATTTTCTTTATTTCTTTCAATTGTTTTACCAAACATTACATAAAAGTAACCTGACTAGCACTGAGACGATCCAGTACAAATGTTATCCTATTTATTATATTGTAGCATTGATTATACACGTATTATAATAACAAGTGATGAGAATGCATAATCTTAATTAATTAATAAAGTTTATGTGATGGGATTTTTCATTGTTTTCTTTGATCGTGTTATCTAATGTTGAATAATATTAAGGAAGAGGAAACCCGATTAACATTGAGACAAAGTGCTATTCTATGTTATACGCATGTTATGATAACCTTAATTAATTAATAAAAATTCCTGATACAAGGTCTAATAGTTCATTGGCTTCAAGTTTCAATGATTTAAGCAGTGTTTCTAAAAGACTTTTTAAAAAAACAAATCGTAATGCATGGTTTTGTGTGAAAGTATTTTGAAAAAGTGAAAGATTTAAATGGAAATGAATTCATAATTTGTAAATTAAAAAAAATTGTTAATAATAAATAATGAAATATTAATATTAAAAAAAAAATATAGTCAACCAATATAGTCAACTAATTAGCCAACTAAAGAAATTTTGACCAGCTAGTAGTCAACTATGGATTTTTTGGACGATTCCAACATCTGGAAATGCATGATGATTATGTGCAAATGATGCAGTGGTATTGGGATATGGATCTATCAAAAAGACTAATTAGTAGAGAGCTTGAAGTTTTGCCAAAAATAAATATATTGAAACTATTAAAAATAATAATGATAATAATAGCAATAATACTACTACTGTGGTGGTGGTGGTTCACAACAAGTCTAAAAATCATATCCAGATGCATATTATACAAGTAGAATATTAGATGAAGAGATTGATAAATCTAAAAGATTTAAAAATTTATAAAAGCAATGGTAGTTCGTTAAATAATCTTGATTTCAAAAGTGAATAAAAATTTCATTATTAATCAAATGGAATTACTATCAATATTAATTAATTTATAAACATTAAATTCTAGTATCAATAGTAAAAGAAAAAATTGATTTAATCTCCACTATAAATTTATTCATTTTTATTATTTTGTTTCCTAAAGCTAAATTATAATGATAAAATTTTTACAATTTTTTGACTCATTAAATTGCGAGGCATCATTTTGGTTAATCAACAATTATGGCTCAACTTTTATCAGTTAATTCACAATAATTCGGTGCTTGTCAATTAATTAGTTTAGGAATTTACTTTTGGTTCTCAATTACTGCACCTAAACGAATTTGTGAGCACACTTAATGGTACCATATAACTGTAACTAAATAAAAATGGCCCTTTTGCAATGCTATAAAGTTCCTTTTATTCACTAGTGATCAATTTATTTCAGTCGTTTACCCTTATTTACATTTATTGGCTGATTGCAAACTCGCTTTGGTTTACTTACAAAATAACTTGGAAACTTGTTTAACAACTTTACAATAATGCTACCAGGATTCCCAATTAACCTTTGGACAATACTTCATTCACACCCGCTAGTTAACCAATATTAGTCCTAGCCTTGTTCACTCACTAAAGCAAATTACGTCACTAATTGTTAACACACACTAGTTAGTCCTGCCTAATCTTGCTCACTTGCTCAATAAAGCAAATAAATGTGGCCTTTTACATTGTCAAGGCATTAACTATAATGTTGCTTTAACAAGGCGCTTTAAACAAAGAAAAATAAAGACACTATTTTTATTTTATTTTTAAAATTTATTAACAAATAATGAAAATAATGATTTTATCACAGGGATTGTTTTATTAGAATGCTAATCATCAATTATTTTCCTCTGAGAGGACCAGAAGTTATGCTTTTTCAAGTGAAGACCAGAAGTTATCCTTAATGAAATTTTCATTGATCACTACAATAAGGGTAAAGATAAAGATAAGGATGAGTTTATTATTGCAAAATTTCCATTTGATAATAATTATAAACTAAAATTAATTGACTTTATGTACCTCGATCATGTATCACATTATTAATATTAATTAATATAAGAAATGTTTGAGTTAGTAGTAAATGAGTGTGTGGGGACCGAATTTGCATTCAACAAAAGAAGAACTTTGCTCCATGGGAATAGCTGATGAAGCAAAGAAGAGATTGGGATACTCAAGAAAAATATAAAAAAAAAGACCTTGGAATACTTATTTATGTGAGCTTTTTATATTTTATTAGCCTTTTACTTTTGTCATTTTTCACAACTTTGGGTAACATTTCGTCAAGCAACATTACATTACAATTTTAAAATGGATGTCTTAATATATTTACAGCATTACGATATTACGGCATGTCAAAGTCATAATATTTTGGCCTATTGCTATCATAATCTATGGAGTGCATAAGTGATTATTTTTTTTTTTTTGGTTTAACAACGTAGTCTTGCCATGACATTTTATTGGTTTGAATTTTACATATGAATTAACAAAAAGAGAATTACATAGAAAAATAAAAATAAGTATCCGTTTGAAGCAATACAATCTCTATGTGGCCTCTTTTCTTCAAAAAGAGAATCAAGCTGAAGCACCCCATTTCATTGAACATGTAAGACATCTTGTCAAGAAACGTCAAAAAACCCACCATTGTTCCTTGAAATTTGTGTTTGTTGCATGTTATCTTTTTATTGATAACAATAAATATTATTTTTGTTGTTGAACCTTTTATTAGAGAAATAAATTTTTATTTCATTTTTTTTACAAAAAACTGAGTTCATCAACTCCACACAACTATTCTTGAAGTTGGAAGCTTGTCTTTTTTAATACTTATACAACTTATAATGTTTTAATGTTCTCTAGAAAAAATTTGACTCAAAAATTTTTTTGGCTGCGCCCTGGTGGGAAGTGTGATTATTTTGACAAACGATTAATTGACAATCTGCGAATAAATGAGAGAATTGTCGATCAATTTACTATTACAGTCAGGGAATATGCTAAATTTGGTATTTCCTAATTTATAAATGATAAACGTTCTGGAATTTCTTTAGAAGAAAATTTGATTGGCTAAATTTATGCAGATCCTTTTGTTAATAAATATAAACAATCTTTAAAGGAAGAGAAAAAACGAGAAAATCATGGCAAGAGATTTATTGACTGGTCATAAACTTCCGAATTATATGGAACTAAACAATATGAGATGACATTTTTGCAATTTAACATATATTATATTATCCTGATAGATAATTTTAATATATATATGTACACATTAATTTTTTCTGTAATAGTTATTTAATAATAATAAAAATAATGTTTATTATAATTATAACCAAGCAAGTTATTCTTTTACCCATTAAATATAATTAATATACACAAATAAGTGTGTTTATAATTATAACTAACCATGTTAT